ACCTCAAAGAAGGATGGGAATATATGTTGGTTTTGACTCTCCCACCATCATAAGATATCTCGAGCCAACCACTGGAGATCTCTTCAAGGCCAGATATGCGGATTGCCAATTCGATGAATCGGTATATCCCTCTTTAGGTGGTGAGACAAACAAGCTGGTCAAAGATCTTTCATGGAATCAAACATCATTAAATTGGCAAGATCCTCGGACTCTAGAATGTGATTCAGAGATCCAAAAGATTATTCATTATCAAAAGCTAGCTAATCAATTGTCAGATTCCTTTGCTGACCCGACCAAAGTAACCAAATCGTACATCCCAGCTTGTAATGCACCAGTACGAATAGCTGTCCCAACGGGACAGACCCAAGTTGCTACAGAGTCTGCACCACGTCTCAAACGGGGCAGACCTCTCGGTTCCAAAGATAAGAATCCCCGAAAATCAAAGAAAGGTGCAATAACCAAAACCGGGATTCCTGCAATATCAGACATAGCCGCGGCTGAGACTCAATCTAATGAACCCTCAATGGAAGTTCGGGACGCCGAATCTCCAGGTTCAGAAGATAACAATGAGATCTCCATCAATTACAATATGTCCGGAATACAATGGAATCGAAAAGAAGTCGACTTAAATGCACTCTTTGCATACAAAGTAGCACTTGATGTTGCGCTCACGCAAGAGGATCTAGAACCCACGTCAATAACACAGTGTACACATCGAACAGATTGGCTAAAATGGAAAGAAGCCATAAACGTGGAGTTAAAGAGTCTCAAACTCAGAAACGTGTTCGGTCCGATCATCCGGACCCCATCACACATCAAGCCAGTGGGCCAAAAATGGGTCTTTGTGCGCAAAAGGAACGAACTCGGTGAAGTCGTTCGATACAAAGCACGGCTTGTAGCACAAGGATTCTCACAGAGACCCAGAATCGATTATGAGGAGACTTATTCTCCAGTGGTGGATGCAACAACATTCCGATTCCTCATAAGTCTGGCCATAAGAGAAAATCTTGATCTGCGGTTAATGGATGTTGTAACCGCATATCTCTATGGGCCCCTAGACAACGAAATATATATGAGACTCCCAGATGGCATTGAACTAAAAGACAAAAATGCATCTCGAGATCAATACTGCATCAGGCTGAACAAATCCTTGTATGGACTGAAACAAAGTGGGCGTATGTGGTACAACCGCCTCAGCGATTACCTCATCAAAGAATGCTACAAAAATGACCCCATCAGTCCATGCATCTTCATCAAGAAGTACTCAAACAAAGGATTTGTAATCATAGCAGTATACGTGGATGATCTAAACATCCTCGGAACATCTGGTGAGATCTCCCAAACAGTCAACTGCTTAAAAGCAGAATTCGAAATGAAAGACCTAGGCAAAACAAAGTACTGTTTGGGATTACAACTTGAGTACATCAAAGGAGGAATCCTTGTGCATCAATCGGCTTATATCGAAAAGGCACTCAAGCGATTTAATATGGACCAAGCTCACCCATTGACCAGCCCAATGGTAGTTAGAAGCTTAAGTGATGACCCTCTTGGTCCCAAAAAGGATGATGAAGAAATCCTTGGTCCTGAAAAGCCATACCTCAGTGTTGTAGGAGCGTTAATGTACCTGGCTAGTCACACTAGACCAGACATATGTTTCGCCGTGAACCTCCTCGCTCGATATAGTTCATCCCCAACTCAGAGGCACTAGAACGGTATAAAACATCTCCTAAGATACCTTCGAGGTACTCAAGACTTAGGACTCTTCTATACTAACCAAAATAAAGATGGGTTAGTCGGCTTCGCCGATGCAGGATATCTATCAGATCCGCACACTGCCAAGTCTCAAACTGGCTACGTTTTTACGCATGGAGGAACAGCCATCTCTTGGAGATCAATGAAGCAGACACTCACTGCCACTTCATCAAACCATGCTGAAATCCTAGCCATTCATGAGGCTAGTAGGGAATGCGTCTGGCTGCGCTCCATGACTCAGCACATCCGCAGAGATTGTGGTATGGACGAAGACACACAGCCCACGGTGATGTATGAAGACAACGCGGCATGCATAGCTCAGCTCAAGGAAGGATATATCAAAGGAGATCGGACGAAGCACATTCTACCGAAGTTCTTCTCAACCTCAGACTGGCAGAAGGACGGCACTCTCAGCGTTCAGCAGGTCCGATCCAGTGAGAATTCAGCTGACCTCTTCACCAAATCATTGCCTACTTCAACACACCGGAAGCTCGTCAAACAGATAGGAATGTATAGACTTAGAGATCTGCAGTGATGCTACAATCAGGGGGAGTAATGCGTGTTGTACTCTTTTTCCTTCACCATGGTTTTGTCCCACTGGGTTTTTCCTGGTAAGGTTTTAATGAGGCAACATTCCCCAGCGCATTATCGAGATCCCGATTGAGTAGCTGGCCCGGTTCACTCGTCCAAGGGAGAGTGTTATAACACATATCATATATGGACTCTTATACCGGCCCATTAGGCCCATCAGGGCATTGTACTTAACCTAGATTCCCTATGTACTCTATATATATATTCCAGTGATTAATAAAGTTTCTAAGTTTTCACAACATATAAATATTTTTAAAATTTTCATATTTTTTTCTACGTTTACAATTAATTAATTAGTGTGAACAAGATACATTAATAAGAGATAAAATAGAAATTAAACTGTTTTTTAATATGCGTAAAAAAATCTTAACTAACTTATATTTTGAAACGGATGAAGTATTTCTTAAATATAGTTATTCTTATGTTTATTTTATTTTACCCTAGTATTATTCAATAACAAATGTAATTGTAAATATTTTTTAATATGTGAAAAATCTAAAACATTTAACATTTAAGAACAAAGCGATAGCTAAGCTCTAATCGTAATTAATATTCACTTTGTGTGAGTCTTCTAAATATGACTCGGTCGTAATTTCGTATGATTCACTCAATTTGCGAAAATTTAGCGCTACTACTAAACCAGTTTCTTAAATAATTATATTCCTCCTCCACATTATTTCTTGTGATTCCTGTCCCACTATGGCAATAATATATAGGGATCACTATAAATAAATATTTACTTTAATCAATAAAATATATAGTAATAATATACGCGTACATATGCACACTGATATGAAAGCAATACCGATAAATTTTCTCGTGCTCCCTGTTGGGAACTCTCTCTCATGTGACGAGTTTAAATGAAGATTATGATTGTGCATCAGCATATTTATAATGTATCATCTATGTATGATTTAATATATGTATTATCTACTATTATTTATATAAACGTACGACATTGGTTCCTCCAACATTAATGGCAGATCTCAGGAATAGGATTTCAACAATGTGTAGATCTTGTGGTGGTAAGAATAAGACCTCGAGTTCTATAAGATCCACCCAATCGGAAATTTGCCACGTTAGGTATGGAACAATTCCCTTTAAATGCATACGCTATCTAATTAATACAATTCCATTAATCAAAGCATTAACTATATCGTCAACGCTAAGTAAAAAGCCCTCATCCCCAAATCTTGCGGATTCTGTATACCCCCAAAAACTCATTGCCAATTTACCACTTTTTAATGTGTTCATTGACAATTTAACACACTTAATGAATATCCATACTAGATTATTTACTTTGAATCCGCTACTCCACTTACACTCGAAAAGCTAAAAAAATTGTTATATGTCATACTTGTGACTCGTTCCCCGCTCTAAAAAGACGTTTTGGAGATTCGTCTTAGAACATTTATGGATTTTATCATTTTGAGTCTCATATTTTCATCATTTTCTCTATGTTTCTCTTGCTTTTCTTTGTGTTTCTTTGTGTGTTTCTTTGATTTAGATTTCTAGCAAGCCTCTGTATATGTTCTAGACTCTAAAGTATCTTTTTTTTTTGTTCAACGTTCTAGAGTATCTTTGTTCTTCTTTTTTTGTCTCTTTGTTTTTATTTAGGTGTTTGAAAGTAGATTGGATTTAAGGAGTTGCATAGAGCTTGAAGTTAGTCAGATGGAGTCATGGAGAATTCACTTTTGGATCCAACCAAATGGAAGAAAAATATTGAGATCAAAATTTTTTGGAAGATCATATCAGATTAAATCCTTTCCGTTCATAGATAAGCTCAACTTTGAACACAGCAAAGTAAATTGACTTATCTTCATTTTTATGGTGGTTTCCAACCAGCAGTTCTAAAGATACAATCAATTTAGCAATTACAAAATCTACTTGAAGGTGAAAGATCATAACAAATAATAATCTTCTTGTGTCCAGATTAATCTCAAAATCTTTTTTTGGTTTAAGATAAGACATCCATTGAGTTAGCTTTCATATAGCATTGGATTCAAGTCATTCCGAGCTCTGATTCAAATCTTTTCTCATCTTTTGTGTAACTTTTATTAAAAAAAAAATCAACATAATACTTAAAAGTATAATAGGATTAACATTAATAAAATGCTTAGTTTACCCAAGTTTAAACTTTTTCTATGTCTACTTTATTATCATTTAATTAGATAAAATGGTGGCAAAAATTCGGTGACCAATTACAATAAAATGGTACCGTAAATAGTTTCACATGATGGGACGAAGAACTTGATGGGAACCACTGATTTTACTTTTTGAATACACTAATTTGGTACGACATTTTAATAAGTAAACGTTGTATGTTGGTAGAGTTACAAGATAATCAAACTACATCTACTGATCTTTAATTATAATTGAACAAAAATTTAACATTGAGTTTACGATAGCTAGGCATAAGAAATGTCGATAAATGAAAACAAGTGGACACTAAATGGTTCCTAACTCGACGCCAAAGGAAAATAGTTCCTAAGTCGACGGAAAAAGATTCATATATATCTCATGACGAGCTGATTAAATATTACATTATAATAACAGAAATTTCATTTTGTTTTACATTGATGTGTTTATCTCCGTTGATTTATTACAAATATAAAAAGAAGATATATAGCAAAGAGACACTATCACTCTCTCTACTTCTCTATCTCTCTCTCTCTCTCTGAATCACTCTCTCTTCTTTGAGTTGAATCAACGCAAACTCACAATCAAAAACACAGCAAACACACTTACTTAGACCCATTTATCTGAATCTGAATCCGAGTCTCTCTGCAGAAGCACATATTATTCATGGATGAGAAGTGGAAGCTGTCGAAGAAAGAGACAACAGCTTCTTCTTCTTATTCCTCTAAGTCAATGTTCTCTAGAAGCTTCTCAACAAGTGCTTCCTCCACAAAGTCTCCAATATTCGTAAGGAGTTCCTCTACTAAGTGCTCTATACCTTCATCCACCTATTCCTCTTCTTCTTCCTCTTCAGTCTCTAGAAGCTTCTCAAGAAAAGAGAGAAGATCTTCTTCTTCATCTTCATCTTCTTCTTCTATCACTCAGAAATACAGCAGTTTGGCTAAAGAACAGAAGGCAAGGTTTTACATCATGAGAAGGTGTGTGGCTATGCTTGTTTGTTGGCATAAACATGGAGATTCTTAATTTTTGTTCTTTTTTTCTTTGTCTTGGTTCCTTGTAATTAGACCAGTTTTATTATTGAGGGTTTCCATACAAGTACATTGTAAGAAGAGATTTTGATTTTAAGAACTTAGGTGTTCTATATATGCTCGTAGATATTCAATTGTACAACTTGCATATGCTACGCATACACAATTATAGACATCTGTGTATATGTACCACTGATGCAAGTGTTTACATAGATAGGATGGTTGTCTTTCTTTAGTAAAAGAGAAACAAAAGATTAAGATACATTATCTGGAGGATTGTGTGTATCATGAAGTACAGTGTTTTTGTTAGGATTTACACTGATTAGTCATTTTCAATGTCTGGAAATACACTTGAAACAATTTAACAAACTAACTCTTCAATTGAATGTTTTATAAAGAATATGAAATGTATGTTGTCTCTTGTTAATATTTTAAAAAGAAATGATCCATGATTCATATAATCTGGTCAAAGATCTGAGGCTTTTTTATTGCTAATTATGAAACGATAATGGAGTCCAGTTAATGTCAATGTGATTATGATAAGAATATACCAATATAATTGTTTTGATGCTATATAGATCTTGCAAACACCAATAATGCCTGGAACTCTACTCACATTTTGTTTTTTCTTAGCTTTAATAATTATTATTTTATTCCTTTTTGCATTTTATGGCAGTATTTGGTGGCAGTATTTTTTCTGTTTGCTTTCTGGATTTTTGTCTCTTTGATGGAAGAAAGATTCCCTCTTGGCAAATGAAAATTCTTTAGTATCAATATATTTCCACATTTTATTTTATAAAAAACTTAGGATAAAATTACTCGATTATGTATAAACAGTTGCGTACTTAGAAACTAGTCGGCATTATTGAGATGAGATGAAATCTATCCTTTCACTTTATTAGTGAAAGAAAGTTTGAAATATTATACAGGGAATCCAATGATAAGTTGTCAACGACTCCAACTTTTGTCATTATCGTAAACAAAAAATGTTTATTTAATCAGATAATAAAAAAGATAACGAGGGTTGCAGATTAGTGCTAATGCATTTTGTTCTTGATTACAAAAAATATATATATATTTCTTAATGTACAGAGAAATTCTTACCGCGACCAAAGCTCTTCAGTTCACTCATCTTTTTACAAGAAGAGAAAGGGAAACAAAATACAAAGAAAAAAATCAGAAATCTCAAGTGATGATGATCCAAAACACAAAAGCATTAAAGAGGAAACAAAAAAACGAGAAACACATATTGCACAATTTAAGGAAATAGCATTCCGAGGAAAAAAGGTGACGTGGTATCGGCAGAGGCGTTGGATTGGTCAGAGTCAACATTTAGGGAAATCTGAAGGTGGAGGAAGAAGCTTCTGATTTGGAAGGTCTCCATCCAGAACCACCCAAGCCATGGTCAGACCCCAACTCAAATGAATCTCAATGTGGCAATGCATGAACCACACACCTGTTACAATCAAACAACTATTTTAAAAAAAAAACATATAGTTTGGAGAATTCCATTAACCATTGAAATTAATTAGATATTATTACTAAGTGTTAGAAACTATGTCACCATCTGAATTCAAAACCATATAATATATAGTGTTAACAAACAAACAAAAAATTTTGAAAATGTTACCGGGGTTATCGGCGAGGAAGCGAATGGCAACCCAACCACCAGAAGGGACATTGATGGTGTTCCGTTCAACCGGATCGATTAGGTTATAACGTTTTGGGTCACGGATCGGGTCAAAGTTGCCAAAGCCTTGTCCCACCACGTAAAAATTGAAGCCATGAAGATGAACAGGGTGTGCCTCAATACCCAAGATGCTAGTGCCTTGCAAGACCAATTCAACAGTTGTGTTGTACTTTAAGACCACGAGTTTGGTCCCTTTTGAGACCATTGTGTTGTTTGGTGGCATACCCGTGTAATTAAATGGAAAAATAGGGGCACTTGGGAAATTGGTCATGAAAATTCTATTGGACTTGCCTAAAAAGTATGATTGCAATAGAGAAGTCTTGTTTGGTAAGATGAAAGACACGTTATTGATAGCTGCTGTGAATTTCGTAGTATTAGTTGGTCCTTGGCATGTTTGGTTTTTAGGACAAGGGTTGGTTCCTAAACCTACGGTAAAGAAATATTTCTTATCCACGGTTTTTGGTACGTTTGCTGGAAATCTAGAACTCGCCAAACTTCTAAACATTTTTGTGAAATTTGCGGCATAGCTCGTACTATTGATAGGAGGGAGAGAGGGTTTGATAACAGGAAGGTTTTTAGAAGAGTTGAAATGATTTGACGTTGGTTCATGCTGGTATTTGAGAACTCCTGCGACGGTTGTGTTATCGATTGTTCCTTGGCCCGTGAAGTAAGGTCTTGCCAGCATGTAGAAGGTTGCATTTGGGTAAATAGGTTTGGTTTTGAGTAATACGTTGGTGGTTTGACCCGGACCGAGAAGCACGATGTTGGTTTGGAATGGTTTAACGTAGCTAGCGTCAGCTTCAACCACTGTTAATGTGTGATTGGCTATGGTGAAGAAGAGTTCATCATCGAGTGCAGCATTGATCAGTCGTAGTAAATATGTCTTTCCAGGTTTCACCGTTAGCTTGTATGTATCTAAAAACAACAATTAGGCACTGTATTAAAGTATTGCAAAACACAACCACTTGAAAAACATGATCATTACCTTTTGTGGAACAATTGTATAATGGGCCTGGAAGTCCATTAAAAGTATGTGCATCGGATGCATTTGGGCCTCCGCCTGTCTGAAGAGCTTGTTGCACAACTGCTTGAGGATCAGCATTAAACCATTCACCTATACACAAATTTAAACATCAGTGTTGTTGAATCTTTCTAAACAAAACGCTATTGTTTGGGACTCATATGCAAAGTAAACAAATATATGAGCATTTAAGATAATTACCAAACATAATAGGGACTTGTTTGTAGGGTTTGGGAAAAGGATAAGGTTGGTGGAGTTTAGGGAGAATGATCAATGGTCCGTACACGGTGGCTCTCATCCATTGAATGTGAGCATGCCACCACAAGGTTCCTCTTTGTCCGATCACTGTGAAGTTGTATACATAACTTTGTCCGGTCTGAATTGGACATTGTGTCACATACGACGGTCCATCTGCCCATCCGCTTCTTAGCTGCCGGATTCCGTGCCTAAACATTTATACATTCATCTTATTTATTGAGGCTTAAGGAAAGTTAAAACAAGAGTTAAAAAATTATCATTATAAGCAACTAGTAATTTACCAGTGTATGGAAATGTTATTGGAGACATGATTAACAACTTTGATCTGTAGATTATCTCCTTCTCTTGCTGTAACCTTAGGTCCTGGGAATTTTCCGTTGACCGTCACTATTGTTTTTGTCTTGCACAATCTTGTGATGTTTTTTAGTTGAATCTGCCGGAGTGAAAAAAAAAAATAGAACAAGTGATTAATATATCTGGAAAAATAGATAAGCAAAGTAATACATATTTGGTCTCAAATGGAGAGTAATTTCATAAATACATCGAACTTGTAGCGCCGCGTGATTCCTGCAGATGCTGCATTGATGTTGTAACTAATGGCAAACAGAAATGCCACAAGAAGATAATGCAAACACCACGTAGCCATGTATAATATTTATTTGAATATTGATTAGAAAGAAAAAAAATCTATTTCAACTTGTATGAAATATGATTTTCTTCTTGCATAGGTTTCTGGTGAAGCTCTTAAGTGGTGTATTGATAAATAGAACTCGAGTGTTGTTTTTATATAAGGGAAAGAGGCAAATAGTAAGGTTAACGGTTGGTAACAAGATTAAAAAAAAAAGTTTTATAGTAATTCGGATAAGTTATAAATAAGTTGATTTAGTGTTGATGTTGTAGTTGGTCCAACTCTTGACGATCCGAGTGAATTCGAAGTTAACTAATTAATTGTGTGCTCTAAGCTCTAAGCCTCTAACTATGATGATTATCGCTCTACATACAATCTTCCGTCCCAATAAATTGATAATTTACTAAAATATTTTATCCAAACACATAATCGAAACCAACAACTAAAAAAAAATCCTTTTGTGTCTAAAGAACTGATATTTTAGTAGAAACTAGAACGTACACTTAATAAGAAAATTATAAATTGACTAAACTATTCCTAACTTTCGTAAGAATTACTGATCAAACGAACTCAATTTTATTATTAGGATAGAATTCTTCGAAGAATTAAACTTCTACATCGGATATTGAGTATTAATTTTATTTGATACTAAATATATATATATATATATATATAAATAATTGCTTAGTAAATAAAAGAGCTAGAAATTAATAAATACAACACTTAAGATCAAAATTGAAGTTCATATTCAAAATCTAAATTTTTCGCTTTTCACTTTTCCATTTTTAAGGTATGAACACTTGACAATAAATATAGAACTATAAATTACGGAACTAAAAAATGTAATGAGTGTAGTCTTGAGTAGGTATAAAGTACATGGTAAGTTGCACGAATTGGTTGTTTGAAAACATATGTTCCAACAAAAAGAGAGTCTTTAGTGGATCTAAGCTTAAGGAGGATCTTCACAGTCTCCTGGAAGACTCTCTCTCTTTGACACTTCACCCAATTCATCCATTCCTTTCAAGCAACATAAGACAACGATCGTTGGATTCATCAGCTTCACTTGGCCTTATAATCTACTTTTATCTGTCTAATCTGCTTTTTCTTGATATTTGGTAACTTAAATTAAGATGTTGCATCCGATGTTTAATTTTGGTAAACTGGATGACTACATTTTCTTTTATCTCATTTGACATCGTGGAATCATTGAATTTGATTAGGAATGTTTTAACTGTACGTTAAGGATTAGTGTCTTGCTCATATCAGACAAAAAGTAATGAATGAATAAGGTGTTGAATTCCATGAAATATCTAATTAGTTCTGAAAGTAGATTGGCCGCAAGGAGTTTCTTGCGAATTCAGCTTCGACTAAATTATTAGATAGATGCCCAAAATCTATTAATTAGATCAAATGAACTTCGTTGAACGCTGATTAATTTGTTGGATATGTAATCATCTTCACTAGCCCAAGAGAAAGGACTACCTCTTGATGCATTTAACATGCATTTCATCGCCTA